ACACACACACACACACACTGTGCAATAACTACACACTGTGCAATTACTACACACACACACTGTGCAATAACTACACACACTGTGCAATTACTACACACACACACACACTCTGCAATAATATTCACACACACTCCATACAGTTCAAGTTATCACTTCATTGTAACGAATGTCACACTGCACCTTTGAGTGTTTGTAGATTCAGTCTTGTCTGTTCATCAGGAGAAGCTGTGGCCTCTTACAGAAATGTGGTTTTACTGAACATCCTCTTGTGATTGGTCGCGAGTTATAGTGGAGGCAGCCGGTCTCTCTCTCTGATTGGCCGGCGGTGTATCAGTACACCCTGGCTTCCTGGTTGTTTGCGATTGGAGAAGTCCAGGTTGTTTTTAAACGGTGGGAAAGTTTGGCTCTGACGGGGTCACCATGTCTCTGAGAAGCAGCCGCAGCCTGGCGCTGCTCGTTGCTTTCTGCCTCTGTCTGACCGCACAGTGCAGGTTTCCCTCTCTGGACCGCGTCAGACCCACAGCCAGCGACAAGGCGCAGGGGCGAGCGGTGGTGGAGCTGCTGAAGCGGCTGCTCGGGAACAGATCCACGGAGTTCATCGTGTCCGTCAACAGGAGCCTGTCCAACGACAGCCTGGACGTGTGCGAGCTCAGGTCCACGAAGAACAACAAGGTGGTCGCCACGGGCAGCAGCGGAGTGGCCGTGGCCTCTGGCATCTACAACTACCTCAAGTACTTCTGCAGCTGCCATGTTTCCTGGTCCGGTGACCAGCTGGACCTGCCCCGTCCTCTGCCCAGGCTCAGCGGCGTCCAGCGCATCAGCACCCCGCACAGGTCAGTGAGCCCAGTGGTTATTACTGACAAACATGTCCGTGGTCTAAAGACACAGGTCAGTGAGCCCAGTGGTTATTACTGACAAACATGTCCACTGTCTAAAGACACAGGTCAGTGAGTCCAGTGGTTACTACTGACAAACATGTCCCTGGTCTAAAGACACAGGTCAGTGAGTCCAGTGGTTACTACTGACAAACATGTCCCTGGTCTAAAGACACAGGTCAGTGAGCCCAGTGGTTATTACTGACAAACATGTCCGTGGTCTAAAGACACAGGTCAGTGAGTCCAGTGGTTATTACTGACAAACATG